TGTTCCTAGCTCCCGCTGGGGGTCGCTGCCCCGCACCTTCCGAGCCCCTGTCACGGGGACGAGGTACAACGGCCGCGGCGGGGCCGCTCAGTGTCCCGCGGCGCTCGCCCACTCTCGGCACGTTTCTTCCGGCTTCGGTACCCCGCACTCCAGCGCCTCTACTCCCGGTCTGGGGGGGAGGTATACCAACCCGTCCCGGGCCATTTCCAGCGCTCTTCGTTCTTATCTCCTCGGGAACTGGGTCCTTCCGTTCCTTCTTCCTAGCCCTCTTTCGCGCCCTTTTGCTTTGGGCTTCTGTCCACGCCTCCCCGCTTGCCGGATAATCCGACGGCGGGATCGAGGACTCAGGGCCCAAAGTATCTCCTAGTCTAAGTTCTTCAGCGCCGCGCTCAGTTCCGACCCTCGTCCTATCCACATAGGAGTCTCCCCGTTTGTCTACCGGTCGTCTTGCTTCAGCCACGATCCTTCCAGTCTCGTCAAATCTCGTCGCTCGAGGGGGCCCATCCTCCAGCCTCTTTCGGGTCCCCCCGATGGGCGGTCGGTACGCTGGTGGGAGGTCTATTTCGTCTCTCTCTCGCAGCGCTCCTTCCTGCTCGTCCTCTTTATCCCGCGTAGTGTGCTCGCCTCTGGTTCGCCCACGAGTCCTAACGGGGGATCCTCCTCCGTGTAACTCTCCTTCCGAGGAGGGGACGCGACTCCTGCCATTGCTTATCCTCCTACTCTCCTCCCTCAATTCCTCAACCGTTTGCTGTAAGGTTTTAATTTGTCCGTTCATTGTCGTTCTCTCACGACGCAGGGTAGATACCTCCTGACGAAGTTTGAGAATTTCTCTTTCCAAGGCCATATTGGCAGCCTTCGTCTCGTCCACCGGCCCTGTGCATTTAACGATCTCAAAGGCTAGCCTTTGCACGGCTACCTTGGCCACATTGACCCCAACTTTAATGTGGCGGCGGAGGTCCCCTTTCATGGATTGGGTCTTTCTCTCCGCCTCCCCAGCTATCCGCCTCCAACACCCGCAGAGTCTCGGCCATAACTGTTTTGGGTGACATTTGCGGGAACAACATAGTTACCTCCTCGATTGCGTCTTTCTGGCCCGACGTTAACCTGTCGTCCAGGATGCACTCGACGAGTCCCTTTCGCTTCTTCAACCCGTGCCCGTCCTTCTTTGTGACCTTAAAGAAGTCAATTCGCTCAAGCTCATCGTCCTCATAGTCCATTCTTGTGGACGAGAGTTTGAATAGGGCATGGGACCCTGGGCAATTCGATCCCTTGGGTTTACGCCCCCTCTTTTTCCCTTTTTTGGGAATCTGTTCAAAGGAGGATGATGAGTTCCCTGATTCTTCCGCAGTAGACGGTATCATCTCTCCTCCTGTGCTGTCACCTCGTTCCATCGCCGCCCCGGTGCCCTCTACACTTGAGGCGCATGATGAGAGCTCCACCACATTTGCATCCTTACTCGAGCCGTTCTGGACTGGCGTGTCCATAGAGACGCTCTCCGCTATGGGTGAATTCACAATTTCACCCTCGACTACTCGGATCCTCATCTCTTTGGGATATCTGCTGAGCCCGTGTCTACCCCTCCTAGGGAGCGGCGCCTCCGCTCTCGCAGATGTCGGTGCCTTCTTCTTCTTCGACCCCGCTGCTGGGACGTTCATCGCATAGGCTTGTACGTCTACTCGGTCCAGTAGCAGACGCAGCTCCTTCCTCTTCGGAGTTGTCGTCACAACGTTGCCCACTTCATGCGAGGTGGTCGGCACGGCATCTCCCTCCTGGGTGTTGTCTCCCTCTCTTGCATCACTCCGGACGGTAACCGATTCGGCTGCGGGGCCCGTCGGCAACCCCGCAGCTAGCCCTTCGCAGGATTCTCCCGGGCCCGAAGCCACGGGAGTCGATCGCCCGGGGGCAGGGACGATATCCCCGGGAGACCGTAGCAGGCATCCGACTTCCTGCTGCTTTTGTCCATTGTTATTGCTCGTCATCATAGTGTAGTTGTCGGCGAATCTTACGGCCGGGGGGCTCGCCGACAGTTACCCCCGGTTCGACTCCGACTCTTCCACTGCGTTAGATTATTCCCCTCCTCCTCCGGTGTAGGGAGAAAACAGCAAACAACCCTAGGCCTAACCCATACACCGGAGGAGTGGAGGCACGCCTAACAGGGCCATGCCCGGGCGATCGCCTCCGCACAACCCTCTCCCCTGCTACTACCCCAGCTCCCCTGCAGGCACCCCCGGCGGGGAGGCCCGCCCGACCGAGCGGCAGGGGG